AACCCTCTACGGTGGTTTTTTCCATTCTCATTCGCTTTTGGGCTTCAAGGGATAGTAAAAGTTGCTCAAGTTCCTTCACGAAGTCTATTGCACCCCCAATAATGGATGCTTGGTCACCCTTTTAACAATTACAAAGAAAAAAAATATTTTTTTGGTTCCAATATAGGTAATTGAATAATGAAAGTAACAAAAGATGGAAGAGTTTTAAATCGATTTACTCTTTGGACGTAAGATGGAGGCATGAGAGAACGGAGAGCATTGAGATGGTCATTCATTTGACGTCTGCGGTTACGTTCAACTGCAATGTGGGTCATGCGTTGGCTCTCTACTTCTTCTTTGTTCTTGGTTGGTTTTGTTCGCTTTCTTTTTCTTCTTTCTCGAGTGACTGGAAGAGATTTCGAGAACTGGGTGTGTTTAGGCCTGGTTTGTGGGTTAGGGTGAGTGATTTCTACCGAGTTGGGTTGGTCTTGGTTGGATTCTGAGCTCGCACCTTCCAGGCATGAAGTTGAATGTGGGTTTTGGAGGTCTTTGGTTTCTGATTGTGATTTCACCGGTGAATGCAAGTCTAATATCTCTTGGGTGATGCAACTTTCAAGTTCTAAGACTTGGATTTGGTTTTCCATTTCAGAGACGTAAGGGTTTATTACATCCCATGGTTTTTTCAGGTGTTGGAGTCTCAAAAGTGTCTGAAAGTTGGGTTCTTTGAAAGGGAAAACTGATGGGGTTTCTACACTTTGAAGCATCTGGAGAAATGGCATTTTGTCTTCTAAACTTGGAGTAGAGAAGTTTGTACTTTCTTCTTCTTCAAATCATAAGGCCTCCGAGCTGAGAAATTCTTGTTCTAAGTACTCCACATTCAAATGTTCACCCAAGAACTGCAAGAAAATAAAATAAGAAATAAGAAAATTAGGGAAATTCTTAGTTGGCCTTCAACATTAGAAGCAAGGAAAAGTAGTATATCAAGGATTGTGTGGGTAGTTCAATCTTAACAGAGGAAGAGAATAAAAAAGGAATGTAGAAGAATGGGAAACAGAAATAGCAGATAATAGTATTTCCAGAAAAACTAGTCACTGCATTGAATGCAAGCATTTAGAGGAGTAAATGCAATGCACATCTTAATTCTAGAAAAAGGATTCGAGAAAAGAGGAAGTGAAAAGAAAAGACAAGTACTAAAATGAACATACGCAAGGATTAATGGGTCCTTGAAGCCTCTCCATTGCAGCAGCTGAGCAGTTTGTCGTTGAAGTAGCGCCTTAAATTCTTTCTTTTATCTCTTGTCTATCTACCTCTTTTTCTCTCTCTCGGTTACAAACATTCCATAGTGATGCTAACGAAACAACACTAGTAATAAATGTAAGCCCCAAGAAGCAGAACGAGACCCCATTTACGAGCACAGATATATTCCTTTGTTTATAGTGTTGGTGCGGTGATAATCTTAAATATATATAAAAAAAAAAAAAAATTATTTGGTGTGATGTGAAGTTACAGAGAGAGAAATTGAAGGTGAAGATGGGTAAAAGAGTGGTGAAGAAAATCCAAGGATGTGAGATGATAAATGAAAGGTGGAAAAGAGTTAAAAACAAGAAACTGAGGATATAGGAGAAGATATATTTAGGAATTGGGAGTGAAAGGAATAAGGAAAGACTAAAGAGAGAGCGCGTAGGCGTAAGGGTTTAGGGTTGTCTGGTTTACAAGGTCCCAAAAGCATTATTGGCGGTGGCAGTTTTGTCCAGCAGCGGAGACATGTAGTTGTGGGGACTCCTACTGCTCTTCTCTCTCTCTCTCTCTCTCTCTCTCTCCCTTTCTAAAAGGTTTCAGGTGTACATGTATATCTTCCCATTACAATATCAATTAACCACCATTATTGGATATTAGAGTTAAATTAAGACTCTTTGGGTGTAAATAAACTAAAAGTTTTAGAGTTTGATTCACTTCTCCCGTTGATATAGGTGAAAACAAGTCTCAGTTTTAGAGTTTGATTCACTTCTCCCGTTGATATAGGTGAAAACAAGTCTTGATTGATATAGGTGAAAATAAGTCTCGATTGTTAACTTTAAGGTTTAGAAAGATTAGTTAAGATAGTACACAAATTGGTCAGAGTGTTTAACTTTAGAGTCTTAAAGATTAATTGAGGTGTGCAAAAACGAATTCGATACTCCCCATCAACAAAATAAATAAATATATATATATATTACAATATCAATTATCTTTCTTTCATTCTAAAGTCCTTTCATATTATTGTCTCATCATGTGCCGTTCATTCTCCATCTCCAATTTCTTCTCTATCAATTTATCCCTCTGCATGCTTTTTTCTCTTTCACACACACACTTATTTTATTAATCAGCCCCACATG